ATTGACATTACAGCATGTCAAGTGTACACCTGCTGGGCTTCCCTTTAAAACTCCTGGAAAAGGAGGGCTGGGCTACAGCTCTCTTGATAATAGCGTTTACTTGGCATGCACCCCAGAATCACACGAATGGGGTGCTGTGGCATACCTGTAATGTCAACATTTGGGAGGTAGAGGAAGGGGGATCAGAAATTCATGGCCACCCTTGAGTACATGGTGATTTCAAGGTCAGCCTACTCAAAAGCAAAACAAAAAATCCGGGTAAATAGTACCAAATGAAAGAATATAAACTTACAAAAATGTCTAAGGAGTTTAGTAGTTAACCACAAGCCCTGTACTTGGGGATTAAATGAAGTCAGGCAAGTTGACTTGGCATGGTCTCACTTCTGATCCTCTTATTTAGGTGGTAAAAGAAGTAGGACTAGAGAACACTATGGTTTCAGAGGGATGAAGTCACAGTTCTTCGTGTAAAATAGGCTTCAACGAACACTGCTAAAACTGGAAAAACAAAGCAACAACAACAAAAACTCAGGACAAGATTAAAAAAATACATGGGAGGCTACGTGCTGTTAGCTTCCAATAGACAAAAGAAATCCCAAGTCCCTTGAAATCCGGGGCCTATGGGCATATTCAGTCATCCGAAGCAGTGAGATTGTTCTCCTGTGCAAAATTAGTTTGTTCATATCTAGAACTTTTCAAGACAGAAAAACAGCCTCAAGAGTAGATATCTATGTGTTTATCTTAGAACTGGTCAGCTGGAGTGCTACATTCCCTTGGCTACCATGGTGAGCAAATTGATTCCCTTAGAATGTGTATGCAGAAGGAGCCAATCAAATCCCCATTATGAGGCTGACACTCTCCCAGTAGCCTATGGTGCATTTTGAAGTAGGTGATTTTGGTTGAGAGAGAAAATATACAAAGCACCTAACATGAGTCCCAAAGCCAGACTCCTAGGTTTGATTTCTAGTTCTACCACTTGGTAGCTGCTTTATAGTTCCTGGCCAAGTGACTTCATTTTTCCTCAGTTTAGTCATCTTAAAATGAATGATAGCGTTTCCCATCTCGTAAGGTGTGGTGAGGGCTGCATACTATATCAAAAGTGCTTACAATGACCACTGGGCTGTATTATTAAAGATATAATAAAGTGGATATCAGTTCTTATAACCACTTACACCGATTACACTTCCTTTTCTCTCTTTCCCCTCCCCCCATTGTTTCCTGACTGGCACAGTGGTGATTTGTGAAGCTTTCTCCTACACTTGGGCATGCATGTCTTTCAGCAAATCAAGGTAATGTCACTTCTCCAGTGAGTGACCCACTGAGGCGTGGCTCGTGCTTGACTGTGGTGAAGGGAAAAACAACTTTCTTTAAATACTTTTTAAAAAAAGATTGTGTGTGCGCACATGCGCATGTCATGAAAGGACCACTGTGGTACTTTGTTCTCCCCTTCACCCACTGAGTCTCTAACCCAGGTTACCAGGCTTGTTGGCAGGCACCTTTCCCTGCTGAGCCACCTTGCCAGACTGTAATACAACTTTCTTGAGGATGGCAGTGTTCAGAAAACTACTTCCCAAAAGAAATGCATCAGAAGATAACTGTCACATTTCCAATGATATTTTTCTAACTATAGCAGCAGAATCCCTGTGAAGGGAGTGTGGAGAACAAATAATGACATTGCTCAACTGCAGCATAACCTTCCTAAGTTCCTACACCCTGGCTTGTTGAAGTGAAGCTCCCTCACTGCTTAAGCCAGTTTTCAGTGGGATTTTTTGTTACTGACATCAAAGCATTGTAACTGACAGGAAGTTCTTAAGTGTCTGCTGTGCTTGAGATATGTTACAGGAAGCACAAACTATACAGCTGTGAACTGGATTCCAATCAGGTTTTCAAAGTGCTTCAGGGAGACAAACCATGAAAAGTCAAACTAGGAACAGCAGTTAAGGGCTTGGATTGAGATGACCTGACAACATAGGAAGTCATATATGAGGGTGACTTCATATATGATCTATATGAGAATTATAGATGGGCAGGAGACTGTGGGGAGTGCAGGAAGCCCTGAGTGAGTGAGGCTTTGAGTATTGTTGACATGGCTATGACCATGTTCAGGACCCCAGAGCCTCAGAACCTTGGAGGAATGCCAAAGCCTCCCTGCCACCTGGGAGGCTTAGAGGGAAATGGCAGCACCTTCCTTAGGGGACCAAGTGTGAGTGTTGACAGTGTGTACAGAAAATGTCCATCGTAGATCCCCCCAATTTATGTCTTGAAAACTGCTCCACAACAGAGATCACTCCTATAGAGATTAGCTAGGCCTGTCTCTTTTATCTGGCTGTAGACCATACTTCGCCCCCTTCCTTGTCTAGCTATGGAGTAACCCTGTGTTACTGTTCCACTCTATATATTAAACACTCTGAGATTCTGGGATGCTGAGACTTTCCCAGCCAAGAGCCAAGACCACCTGACCCAGCTTTTCTGTCTGTCATTTCTCACTGCCCTCAGTTAGATCCAAGTCCCAGGAGTCATGCTGGATGTAGTAGAGAGGGAATGTTCTAGGTGGGGGAAACAGTGTAAACACGGGAGAGGGGAGTCAGGTTGCATCCATTTGCTAGGGTCACCATAATGAAAGCACCACATACAGGGTGGCTTCAGACAACAGAAGTCACTTCTCAAGATCCCTGTCTACAACCAGTGGTTTATCCTGTGCTGAGGCCACTTGTTCAGAGATGGGTGCCTACTGCTGTATACTTACATCCCTGGTGTCTCTCGAGGAAGACAAATAAGAGTCTGTCTTAATGACTTTACCTTGATTTAACCAACCTTCTAAAGTCTACAAATGCATCACAATTTGAGAAATTAGGGACTAGAGATTTAACAAATGAATTTTAGGGAAACAATTGAGTTCATAACAGGGACTTAAAAAAAGACATTTAAGAGCTAGAGATTATTGGGAAATGAAATTGGAAGGCTATATTAGGACCAGACAGTGGGGAACTTGAATTGTTGGCTTAGACTTTGTGAGGTACCTATCAGAGAAGACTACTTGGACATGAGTTCAAGTCAGTAGAAAGTCTTTATTAGCTGGCTGGTGGTTACATTGGATGTTTGGGACCTGAGTTCAGTCCCAGGCCTTTCTCAGGATGACCTTTTAAACACAAATCCATATCCTAGGTCAACACACCTAAGTTAGCAAGAACAGTCAGCCAGAAGTGCAACTACAGAAGCCAAAAAGCAAGGTTAGTACACTGAGTGACTTTCCCAGAACTATGGGCTTTGATGGATTAGATCTTTGTTTCATTTTGGCAGGTGTTGCCACCTATCTCCTGGGTTCTAAGGCCTGAATGGTACTTCCATCTCATTGTCAGTTGTGCTAACTTTTGCAACAGCAAAGGGGGCAATGTAGATATTTAAGAATAATTTGACAGCAGTATGCCACAATGCTCAATCAACAAGTAATCAAAACTGGTTAGAACTGCTGATGTAGAAATAGTCTACACTGGTCTGATGAGGACTGAATTGAGGAGAATGAAGGACTCAGGTCAGTGCATCATAAAATACATGTACAACAATGTTTATAGCAGCACTGCTCACAATAGCCCAACCACAGAGGAGTGGGTAAAGAAAATGTGGCACATAGACACAATGAAATTATTTTCAGCTATGAAGTTTTGCCATTTTCAGGTAAATGTATGTAACTGAAAATAAGGAAATTAAGCCAGTCTCAGAAAGACAAATGTCATGTTTTCTCTCATGAATAGTTCATATATTTTAAATAGGTAAAATCATATATGTATATATGAAAGAGAAGGCAAGACTGTCTAGGAAAAAAGGGAACCAATGGCAGAGGGGAGGAGGAAAAAAGAGGAAAGAGGCATGTAAGAGGTAATATACTCAGTGTGCAATATACAGTTGCCTGAAAATATCCTTATATAATACAGCACCATGTGCAACGAATACAAACAATGAACTTTTAAAAGTCAGTCTCACAGAAAGGACACAAAGATCAAGTAGATTGGATCACTGGACATTCTTCAAGGTCCTGTATATGGCTGAGGGTCTGAAGCTCAAAAGCTTCACTGAGAACCCAGAATAGACAGAACATCTTGTAAACGGCCCCAAACTGCCCAGTGGTCTCATAGGAGAGTCACGGCAGAGCAGCTCTCTCCAGCTCTAGGTGGAGCAGATCCTTCCTCTTTTCTCAGATGCCCAGAGCAGTATCCCCAACCTCCCAGAGTCAGCTTTTAGCTATATATCCTGAAGATACTTCCTAAATGTTCTATACATCTGAAGTAGGACAAGCAAATACCCAAAGCCTATAGCATATTCCCCCAAACACATTCCAGTGATTTAAAAGGTTACATTATTATTTCATGTGTATTGCTGTTTTGTCTACATGCATGCCTGTGCACATGCATGCCAGTGCTCAGAGAGGCCAGAAGAGGCCACTGGATCTCCTGGAACTGGAGTTGTATAGAGGGTTGTGAGCTGCCACACGGGTACTGGGACTCTACTGAACCATCCTTCTAGTGACTTCTATAGCAGTTTTCATTTTTCTATACAATGAGAGAGAATCAATAGAATAAGAATGTTATACCAAAGCTTACTTGGGAGACAGAGACAATGAAGGAAGGATAAGAATAATTTGGTTACCAAAATATTAAGAAGTTAGAGAAAACCGATAAAGCTCGAGTGTCTTACAAATGCTTGTGTCAGTGTAGAGGTCGAAGGCGCATCCTTCAGAACAGTCAGCCCCGGGGTCAGCATTTGCTTAGCTCTCTGCTCTAGGATTTAGCACTACCTATGCCAATCTTACACAAACTTTACATTTCCTTTATAGAATTTTACATTTTGATCTTGAGCCACACTCCAGAGTGGATGGGGAACCTGCTGATCACTTTTACTCACATCTTCACCTTCCTCACAAGAACTGTTACCCACGCAGGAGCAGGAGTGCTAAATGCAAAATGAGTTTATGTCAATAAAGCTAAAATAAGAAACTTAATACAGTCTTACTCAGAAACGCCTTTATTTCATTGGCAAAAGAGCACTAAACTTGTGTGACAGCTTTCGTATCACAGTAAATACACATCTCCACTAGTAATTCACAGGGCAGGTTAAGATAGGCCCACCTCACAAGATGGAGACAAATGGCTGTTGATTATAAAAACAATACTCAATGAGTTATCAGGAAAACAAGGCTTCAGAATGGTAGCTTCTTACAGTTCACATAGAATTTCCAGTGATGTTCCATTACATGGCATGGCAGAAGCTCTTGATCGCTGATTAAAAGTATTTCCTTTATCTGTAGATAATGAGGGATACTTTGCATTGACTTCCTGGGAGTGCCTGTTAAAATACAAATCACCATTAAACCCAGCTTTTCATAATGTAAGATTTAGTTATTACATATCCCAGAATCTAGTCAGTCCACGCCCAAGCATACTTGGTGTGTTGTCTGAGCAGCACACACATCAGTCCACTTTCTGTACCTGAGACAAACCTATAGGAGGCAGAGGAGGGAGAGAGATGCGGGGGCTATTTGAGTAATTCATCAATTACCAAATCAAATCTTACTCCACAGAGACTGCCAGTGTGTTAGGAGTTTACCAAGGCTGTTTCAGCTAGACATACCATATAGTCCATTAACTTTATCCATATCCCACAGTGTTTCACATACAGTTAGGTATTTTAAGGGCAGAGTGCTTTTGATGACCAGTACCCATCTATACTCCCCCTGTGACATGCCTGCCTGTGACTTTTTCTTTTACCTTACTTGGCTCATGTGCTTTGGGTTGTATTTATTCTCAACTTCTTGATTCATCTCCATGTGCACGGATCAGTCAGCAGGCACCGACTGCAGACTCAGTGATAGGAACATAATCCCTTCAGAGGGAGGTAAGGTCCAATGAGATCTCTGCTGAGTCTCTGGGGAAGAGTCACATCTAAGTCCCCTTTCTAGACTTGAATTAACAGGTAGACAGCTTTGTTGACAGTAATGAGAGGCTCTTAGGAGGGGCTACAGTGTGAAAGTAGAAATTAGAAATGCAGGGGCTTTTTTTTTTTTAAAGATGGGTCTCATGCCACTAAACAGGATGACCCTGAACTTCCGATCCCCTGCCTTAACCTCCTAAGCGGTGGGATTACAAGTATGTGTGACTATACCAGGCTGATGGAATTGGAGGTTAGAAGTTGAAAAAGGAGAAACCCCATTTTTAGTCATACTGTTTGAGTCCTAAATAGAGCCTGTAGATCTGTCCTGGCCTTTATAGACATGTACACGTGTCAATAAAATTCCATTTTCAGTGATGTAAGTCAGTCTAAGTAGGGTTCTAAACTGGCACTTACAGACCGACAGGACGGCTTGTCTTATAACCTTAAAGACCTAAGTTTGATTCCCCAGAACTCAGGAAAAAAAGAAAAACGGCAGACATAGAGGGTAGTGGTATGTCTTTGTAATCCAGCAGAGAAGGCAGTGATGATAGGTAGACCGGAGCTCACGAGCCACCCAGCTTAGTTTTCTTGGTAATTTCCCGGCCAATGAGACCTTCAGCAAAGAAAAAAACTAAAACAAAATAAAGCAAAATAAACAAAGGAAAAACCAAAACAAAATAAAGCAAAATAAACAAAGGAAAAACCAAAACAAAATAAAGCAAAATAAACAAAGGAAAAACCAAAACAAAATAAAAACAAGTTGGAACAGCAACCGAAGAACAATAGCCAAGGTTATCTTCTGGCTGCTACATGTGCTCGCGCGTGTGCACACGCGCACACACACACACTCACACAAACACACACACACACACACACCTGAACACATACAAACCTGTTACTATAATCAAATACATTCTACATTTTAAAATATGTTCATTATATAAACATATAATCTCCATATTAACTGTAGAGGACAAAAAGGGCCTTGTGCACACAGATAAGCAAGGGAGAAGTCAGTAAAGTTAAATTTACAGGCATCCTTCAAAGGAAAGCAATGTTTGATCTGTCCTCCTCCTGGAATTCTGGGAATGGATGTACTTTACAACCTGCTGATCCTTTGAAGTCTGATGAACAAAGATTCAGCCTGTATTTCCCAGAATTTATGTTTTACTTATCCCAGACACTTTCTACCTAATTCTGAGCATTACTTGTAGGCCATAAAACTTATCCTCATGAGTTCATACTTTACAACTGCCTAAGTGACTTCTATGTCATCTTAGGGCCAGGCCAACCCTGACACCCACAGGGATTGTTTCAAGTCAGTCACATTTCCTAGATCCTTACTTTGAGCAATGCTTTTAAGTCAACAAGAACCCATCTTACAAACAAAGCCATATGTACTTTGTAAAGAGCTTCAGTGTAAACACGTCTTAAGCTTTGTTGTATTCACTGGCCTTAGTTAATTGTTACTTGAAAACTTCTTTCCAAAATTATGCTGGGCTTAAATACGGCAAAAACATTCAAACTGATGCCAGACTCTCTAAGTTACCTAAACTGGGCTGAACTTAGTTTCATTCTTCCCTCACCCAGATTGTTGCCCTGCTGGCTGTAAAGCCTGCAGGGACCGCCCACAATTAACAGTTCTGTTTTCCACAGATCTCAAACTGAACTGATGGGCTTTGGCAATCCTGCTTCAATCTCCTAAGTAATTGGGACTGTGGGCATGTATCACCACTCTGTTTTCAGAAACAAGGTATCCTACAAAAGCTGGGGATGGGAGATATTGCTCAGGTAAAACTCAACAGCAAGGTTCTCACTGCCTGTCTTTACCTCCATAAGACACCGGGCCTTACGTTAGCTAGGCTCTGAGTGCCTAATCCATCTGTGTGAGTTTATTTCTAATTTACACTTTATTTCAGTCATGTCGTATTTGTAAGCAAAGTGACTAAGCTGCAGATGTGTACATTACTTCACATTTCAGACAGTCTGCCAGAGTCCACCTAAGGTCCTCTTCTATACTGCCAGTATTTGAATGCCTGTGATGATGCCTATTTTCTCCTCTACATTCTTAATAATACTGCACAGTATAAATGTTTAAAAGCTATCCCTCTCTGGTTGTACAAAATAAAACTACTGTTTTCACTGATGCCTTCAGTTGTCAAGTATGAGCATCTTTCACATGGACTTAATGCCCTTAAAAACCCCTAGACCTAGAAAGGTGCCTAGTTTTTAAAAATAAATTTTACTTAAATTAGAAACAATCTTATTTTACATATCAACCCTAGTTCCCTTTCCCTCCCAGCCTCCCATGCCCCTCATCCATCCCCCATCCACTCCCCAGGGAGGGTGAGGCCTTCCATGAGGGATTATCAAAATCTGTCATTTTGGGGAGGGCCTAGGCTAAGTGTATCTAGGCTAAGAGAGTAACCATCCATGGGAAATGGGCTCCCAAAGTCCATTCATGCACTAGGGATACATCCTGGTTCCACTGCCAGAGGCCCCATAGACAGCCCAGTGCTCCTAGGTGACACCCATATTCAGGGGACTTGGTTTGGTTCTATGCTGGTTCCCCAGCTGTCAGACTGGGGTCCATGAATTCCCACTTGCTCAGGTCAGCTGTTTCTGTGGGATTTCCCAGCATGGTCTTGACCTCTTTGTACATCACTCCTTCTCTGAAACTGGATTCCAGGAGTTTGGCTCAGTGCTGAGCTGTGGATCTCTGCTTCTGCTCCTAGATGAAGGCTTTAGGACAGCATTTAAGGTAGTCATCATTCTTGTTATAGGGGAAGGGTATTTAAGGTAGCCTCTCCACTACTGCTTAGGTTCCTAGTTGGAGTCATCCTTGTGGATCTCTGTACAATTCTCTAGAGCCAGACTTCTCTTTAAACCTATAAGGGCTCCCTCTATTGATGTGTCTCTTTTCTTGCTCTCCTCTATTCCTCTCCCCACTCAATCTTCCTGATCCCTCATGTTTTCCTCCCCCCTCCTCTTTCTCCTACCTCACTCCCCTCCAGCCCCCATACTCCCAATTTATTCAGGAGCTCTTGGCCCTTTCTGCTTCACTGGGGGACCATGTATGTCTCTCTTAGGGTCCTCCTTGTTTCCTAGCTACTCTGGAGGTGTGGATTATAGGCTGGTAATTGGTAATTGGTAGTGACTGATCAGACAGCAACCCAGAGTGCATTGTTGATCAGGTCAGGAATTTAATCTGCTTATGGATCAAAATTCCTCAAGCTGTAGCTCAGCTCACTGAGCACAAGATATTATGCTTATTTAAATTGGGTGCTCCAAGAGGGAGGAGTTTGTTGCATGTCTCCCTAACAAGAGACTCACTGCAGCACTAGTTGTACACCCAAGAACAGTTTCAGATAATCTCTGCCTATAGCTCTCCTTCTGTGGACACTAAAATAAAGGGGACTTTTATTTGTTTATTTTGAGATGAGATCCAATCATATAGCTCAGGCTGATCTTAAATTTATTGAGGAAGCAGAGTCTATTGACAAACCAAACTTGAGGATTCCTGTACGTCTTTGCAAAGAGGTACAGTAGGAAGGCCCTAGCCCAGAGGGTACATACCAAAGCTGATGCACATGCCCTACCACCTCAGGCCAAGAATCCTCTATAGACTCAAGTTCTTTATAATTTGCCCAACTCTTAATTTTAACATCTTAAAAGAATTCAGTGTTTGGCCGGGCATTGGTGGCGCACACCTTTAATCCCAGCACTCGGGAGGGAGAGGCAGGCGGATCTCTGTGAGTTCGAGGCCAGGCTGGACCGACAGCCTCCAAAACAGAGAAACCCTGTCTCGTAAAAACAAAACAAACAAACAAACAAAAAAAACAACAAAAAAACCCCAAATAAACAAAAAAAAGAATTTAGTGTTTAGACAGACCCATTACTTTAATTTCCAGTGTAAAGTTCCTTGTAATATGTGAAATAATTTGCTTTGTAAATTATTTTCTCTATTTACAGTGTTGTGGTTTGAATATGCAATGCTCTCCACAGGCTCATCTTTTGAATAGTTGGTTGCTGGCTGGTAGTGCTAATTTGGGAAGTTACGGAAACTTTAGCGGGTAGAGCCTTGATAAGGAAGTAGGTGACTGAGGGAAGACCAGGGCATATATTATCCCTTGCCACCTTCTCTCCTGTTTCCTGCTTCCTGATCAGCCATGGAGGGGACATTTCTGGCACCATGTTGTCTTGCTAAAGCACATGGAACTAAATAATCACAGACTCTGAAACTGTGAGTCAAAAGAAAGCTTTCTTTACTTAAGTTCTTTCTTCCAGGTATTTTACTTCAGTGACATTAAAAGCAATAGGTATATTTTGCTATCTAAAAGGACTTTTGGCAGAAACTATTGGTTACTTCCTTTTTAGCTTTTTCTTCTGTCAGCTGACAGAATGCTTGCTAATAT